TTCGAACAAGCAAGCACCTCCGGGGACTAGGTTTCACTGCTTCCCCCTTACTCTGGCTGTGCTGGTGGATGGCAAAGCCTCCTGTCTGCCTGGACCTTCCATTCATTCATTAGCTTTCCGTTCCCAGCCACAGCTCCCACAGCTTCACATGTGAACAATCTCTCCTGGATTGCATGGCTCTAATATTGACAAGCAGGCCTAATGAGAGCAATTAAACTGCCATCTGTTTAACAAAACATACCCTTCTAAGAGAATATCCACAGTCTTATTGCATTTAGTACATAGTCACAACAGTAAAATGACATGTGGGAATCAATACAAAATATTTATTTTTTTCCAAACCACAGAATTCACTCGAGCCACACTATAAATTTCCCAGAATTGTAAGCCATTAACATTTCCTAAACAATCCAATCCAACCAGAAATGAAGATACTTTCCAACCAGCAGGGGTACAATGTCTACTAGGGTCTGTAAGAATGTCCTCTGATGAGCATTTTCTTTAACACTCCCACAGCCACTCCATCAACATAAGCAGAAACGGCGCATGTACTTGTGTCACTCGGCTGTGGAAAGAGGTGAAAACAGGGTCGTGGGCAGTGGAGGAGGGAACGCCCGAATCCCTGTGTCAATGACTTAGTTAATAATCAGTGGGGACAGAAGAGGAATCATTTCCCTTGGAAAATAACAGGGGTCTTTTCACATAACAGGGTGGGACAAATAGGCTTACAGTTGTGAGTGCCGGAAACACAGTTTATTCTTGTAGTATTATTTATTAATTATTGTAGTATTTTCCATACAATCAACTGTAAACCTACTTTTGCCCCACCCTGTATTCTGGTGGCCAGAAACTGGGACAAATTTCAACAAGGTAAAATAATCAGAAAGTCATTTCTCCATGAACTACTATGACCTCTATTTTAACATCTGATAAACATAAACTTCATTTTATGCAATCTTATTGAAAACAGTAATCGCAACCAAAAAGGTCCTATAAACCTCTTATAGGTGTCAGTCAAGGAACTCACATTCTGATCTTAAATTTCAAAGTCCCCTTAAGAGGTCTAGACCTTGAGGAAAGTAAACATAATACTCTGAAGCTCAATNTTTATTCTTGTAGTATTATTTATTAATTATTGTAGTATTTTCCATACAATCAACTGTAAACCTACTTTTGCCCCACCCTGTATTCTGATGGCCAGAAACTGGGACAAATTTCAACAAGGTAAAATAATCAGAAAATCATTTCGCAGTGAACTACTATGACCTCTATTTTAACATCTGATAAACATAAACTTCATTTTATGCAATCTTATTGAAAACAGTAATCGCAACCAAAAAGGTCCTATAAACCTCTTATAGGTGTCAGTCAAGGAACTCACATTCTGATCTTAAATTTCAAAGTCCCCTTAAGAGGTCTAGACCTTGAGGAAAGTAAACATAATACTCTGAAGCTCAATGAGACACCATTAAAAAAAACAAAGAACAAAAAAAAAACAGAACATCTACACAGTGACTGGATAGCTAACGTAGGTTACTTTGTGTTGGGTTTTAGTTGTAAAGTTTTTTAATGTCTCAGATTAGTGTATATTCCTAAAACAATGTTCAGTTATTTTAATAATAGCTGATTAAACAACTGACTTTTGGCTTAAGGGATATAACTCTTGCATGATAATCATGAAAATAATTGTGATAAAACAGAAAAAACACAGAAGAAAACACAACCAGCCTCAATAAGACGACAAATCTTGAAGGTTCCTCTAGGAGAGTCAAGGGGCTTTTAAAGGCTGTGATACAAGTGCTCCTGCTCACGGCATACCTGCAGAAACCATCGTGTCCGCTAGGTCACCATGACCTCTGCCAGCATGTGCGCTCAGACCGCTGCTCCGAAGTTCTCTGTGCGGAAGGACGCCCGAATCCCTGGTCAGTCCAGAACATTGCGAGGTGACACATGTGCACTCTCTCCCTGAGGAATCTGTGTGCAAATCTGCAGCCCAATGGGAAACATGTAGCGAGGGGGCCAGCAGCTTTACAGGCCTGCGGCGTAGGGGATGCGCATGCAGGGTTAACGGCCTTGGGCATCCATTCTTCTGCAATCTCTTACAGATCAGTTTCCATCCTGTACCCCAAATAAAGGAAAGGGAACTGTCCTTGTAAAAGGGACAGAACAAAATGTACAATGTAATAACGCACAGCTCCTGCAACCAGGTTGGTGGTGTCCTCACTAATTCTACAAAGAACTATATCAGGGTTTCCTTTCCACCCCACAGGAAACAAAGCAGTTGCTAGGCTAGGGTGCAGCTGTGAAAACAGAGGGCATAAGATGACACTGTCACTGAAAATCCAAGCCAAAATTTAAAATAAGTACCGTCTCTCAAAACCATTATGTTTATACTTTCACGTGCCATGACTTTGACGTGATTGGACTGGCTTCCTTTCAGAGGGTCTAGATTCAGGCTGCACGTACACAGTCGATTTAGCCAAATCAGCTGCATGTGCTGATTAACGAGACAATCGGCCTGCATGCACGGTTTCCTGACACGGGCCCCACAGAAGCCAGTATTTAACTGGGGTGGAAAAGCTACATACTGTACTGGCAATAATACAGGTAAACATGAGAAAGTACTTTCTGGCAAACAGTGTTTCGTCAAAGCAAAATGGATGACAAACCTTTCTTATGTTGCAAACTAGGTAAGAATCCCAATGGAATAAGCAAGGTCGACTCTGGCTTGAGATAAAGAAGCGGGTCCTTCACACTGTAACGTACCTCGGTGGTGAAAATGAGGGGCAACAGTCACAGGCACCAGGACATGCAGATTCCCCCTACGGCCTCCCCTCATGGCTTTGCAGGACCAGGCCTGGCCCAGAGCTGGCTGCAGTCACCGCACAAAACTTTAGAGAAACTAAATTTCGCAGACTTTACTCTGCCCACTTTTTGTTTACACATATATTATAATAAAAAGAAGACAATATAAAATATTTCTCCATTAACTTAATAACGCAAAGACATCCAAAGGTTTTAATGCCAATTCACATCATGATACAATGCTTTCATAAGGAAAGTTCTGCTGTTGGCCAGACAATGGTCTCTCACAGAAAAAGCATCTGGGTAATTATTAAATTACTGAAGAACTCACCCACATTTTATATTTGGATTTTAAAAATTCCAATTTTATTCCTTGCAGAAATATTATTAAAACTACTCAGGAGAGACTTTAGTTGCAGGTGTTATTTATAAGCCTGCAGCAAGCATTCCATTGAGAAAAGTAAAATTTGGCCTTCAGGGTAAAATGGAATTTTCCTTGATACTAGAATGTTACTGGTGCAGTAAATCAAACTATACAGGGCATAGTAAGAGTCTGTATATATTCTTACAGTAATTCAGTGTTTATCAATACAATCCAAGATACTCACAGAGTTAAAGAGTCTAACTCAAGTCCTCCACAAAACCTATCAACTCTGGTTGGTAAGTATTTAAAAAAATAAATCTGACAACCTTTACTTTTACTTCTCTGACTGATTTTACAAACAGAGGACTTCTGGTAGATGACTGACTTGCTCCCAAGATCACACTTCTAACTCTCCCACTCCTCCACTCCCCAAAAAAGGACAACTGAATTGGCAGAGGCAACTCTTATGAAAAACCTGCATATCAGAAGTGTGACGATCTCTAATGTCTTCCTTTTCGCTCCAAGTTCTCTGAAGAGGTAAATATCAGTCCCACATAGCCGAGTAGGCTTGAGCACAATACTCAATTTAGAGTCAAGCAGAACTGAGGAAAAAAATTTTCATTTGCCACATCTTTCTATNCTCAAGCAGAATTGACAAAAAAATTTTTCGTTTGCTACATCTTTCTAGTTTTCTTTGCCTTTCAAGAACAACTAGAATAAGCCTCAGAGTCTAAACAGGAACTAACTAGCACTGTGGGTGTAGAAAAACCAAACACAGCTTTGCCACAGTTGGACGGGGGCCTCAAATCAGCAGTGCTACTTCTAACTCCAATACGATGTCTGAAGATGCAGACTGCAGCCTTTTTTCAAAAGTACTTATCTTACCCATTTAAAATGAAATGGATCAGGAATCCTACACCACTGATTATACTTGGATTTAAAAACCGTATCTGCTTCCTAGAGCATCACAGGAGCTAGCTTTCACTGTTGGATGATTCTCAACATTACAAGGGGAGTTTTATTGCTGGAGTCCTGGCGACGCCTGAACTAGCGTGATGCCAGTACTACAGCAGCTGGTGAGTCATGTAAGTGATAGAGGGAATGGAAATGTTCTACAAGAGTTGGTCCCCAACATTAACATGAATGTGCCATAGTGAGGCGGGGGGAAGCTGACCATGAATGTGCAACAAGGTTCTGTTCTCCCACTCATTCAGATTCCTGCTTCGAAGCCACGCCTGACATCTTGTGACATCTTGGCGGGTTAGTCCATGATACCATAAGCTTTTTCAGGAGGCATTTGTGAGTTTGACATGGTCACAGAGTTGCAAAGTGCACAAAGCTCAAGGCACAGAGTAGAAAAAGGTTGTGAACTAATGGGGGGAAAGGTAGAGCAAAAGCAGAGTTAGCATTTTCCTTTCACAAGACCTTCTAATGCTAAACAAAGACCAAGTCTTTTTGAGGGGCTTGTTTTGGTTATGGGTGAAAAATACTGTATTGTAATGATCTGCTTGATTTTAAAGCAAAAGGTATCTTGATGTGTGAAACCAATATGCCGAGCGCCAAGTCCACAAATGAATAAAACAGTGCTTAAAAAAATTCTCCTGCTCTTATATTTTTGGAGGAAGCTGCTGGTTTGGGCTGCCCGATTTCACTTAGCAATGGTCACCTTTCAAGATGCCTGTTCCTCACGGAATCTATAGAGAGATTCATTAAAAGATTGTCCCATTTCAAAATCATCCCCAAGTCTAGCAGCAACTGACAGTTTTTTTGTTTGTTAGTTTTTTGTTTTTTAAAATTACAAATCAAAGTAAGAAGTCTGACATCCTCNAAGTAAGAAGTCCGACATCCTCTTCCGAGAACAGCTTTGTGACAGCGCCTGAGTGCAGGACCCACTGTGCTCGGAATACAGTCTCTGCAGCTCCAGTGTGTCCTTGTGGCAGGAAGGAAAGTACATTCAACACATTCACTATCTGTAGCCTCTGGAACTCGCACATGCTGAGGAGCTGTCTGAAAAAAAATCATCAGAACAGGAAACGGTATGAATAGCAGATGGCACTGGATCATGGTAGGAACCTATTTAACACATATTCCTACCCCTCTTCCAATCGCCAAAAAGGAGATTTTTTTAAAAGTGGTTTTGAGTGGAGCGAAAGGTGAAAGGGGGCTAGGTCATCAGGAACTGAGGCTGAGTCACTGGCAGCATCCTGACAACTGCCTGAGAGCCACCACCACCCATTGGACCTTAGATCGGCCGCAACTCACAGAACAGTCTGTCCTGGATCACACACAGTGACCGATGAGCCCACCATCAAGAACACTGTGGGGATCATCATATTTGCTGCACGGTCACTGCCAGTGGCTATCTATGCCACAACCCCCACAGACGGTAAGGAACCTTATTACTTACTATAAGCCAACTCATCTCCAGCTCTCTTCCGGGACTGGTCACCTCTGTGGATTAAAAAGGAAGAGTGGGTCAACAGAGCTGACTGACACCTCCACATACCAACAGGAGAAACGAACCACAACAGCTGATGATGGAAGTGCAGCAGACATTTCCATTCTAACCCACCAGCCTTAAATTGTAAAACAGACATTAGATTGCACAGTAACTGAGTCATTTACAAACTGATATTCTTAGCTAAAAGGTGTTCTTTTAAATATAGAAAGCTATTAAATGAAGGAGGGGTTATCCATGAAGACGGTTTACGCTAGGTTCTAGAAACAGCTCAGACTGTCTATCTTTGAAGACTGCCCTAGGCTCTGCTGCCAACGTGCCTAGTGACCTTGCACCAGGGCAAACTCCAAGTATGAACTACAAAGCGTAACTTAAAATCTTACCCTAAGAAGCTAAAAACTGCTCAAGCTCTGAAAGTCTGACTCTCCTTAGAATGAACGTGAACACGCTTCTTGCAGAAGAACACAAATCTTTCCCTACATTAACCAGTTTACCTTCAAACACCAAAGAAGTCCTGGTTCCACTTTAGAGGTGAGAGAACAGGTCTGATTAGGTCCTACGCTACCCATACATGCTATTTTTGTGTGTCTAGTTTCCCAGACAAAAATTCAGACAAGTGACTAAAATGCCCGAACCATTAGTAACGCCCAAATCACTAGCCTGTTCCTCTGGCCAAAACTCTGTCCTCGGTCGCCTTTCTCTCCCTTGTATAGTCAGTCTCCTTTGTCTAGAATAGTGATCACACCAGTCCTGTAACTTGAAATACTTGAGTGGGTTTCATGGATTTCCATTACAGTTAAAAATCAATTCAAATTCACATGCCAGTGGGCCCCAGACTTCTATCTCCTGCTCTGATATTTTCCTCCCTTGCATTTCAGACACAGATCCACTGCCCCATGACCACCGCCACCTGGATAATTTATACATACCACCAATGTACCATGGCCAGAAGGAATACCGCTGACTCCACGCCACCCCCACTCCTTCCCCAGTCTCACTCAATAAATGAATATCCACCCAATTCCTCAGACCAGAGCCCTAGCTCACCCTTGATTCCTCTCTTTCCCTCTCTCTGGAGCATTTACCCCCAAACAAAATCCAAAATAAACCACCCCTCACCTACTCCACAGCAAAAACCCCAATTNCCCTTGATTCCTCTCTTTCCCTCACTCTGGAGCATTTACCCCCAAACAAAATCCAAAATAAACCACCCCTCACCCACTCCACAGCAAAAACCTCAATTCAAGATACTATCATCCCCCCCTACACAACTGCAAGAGTCTTACTATTAGTCCAGACAAGAGCCAGAGAGATCTTATGTAAAAGCATAAATAAGATTATTTCATGCCTCTGATTAAAGCCTTTCACTGGGTTTCCACTACAACTACAAATCAATTCAAATTCATTTCCCTGGTCCTGTGAGATGCGGCTCCATCTACCTTTCCATCCTATCTACCTCTGGTCACTACACCCAAGCCACTCTGGCTTTCTTTCCGTCCCTTGGACACATTAGCACTTCTGTACGTACTTAACCCTGCCTGCANACTTCTGTACGTACTAAACCCTGCCTGCAATATTCTTCACTTAGTCAGCCAATGGCTATCTCCTGATCACCAACTCCCTAGCTTGGAGGCCCTCTCCTCGGGAGGCACGACATTACCAAGTTAGCAGGAATAGCCCCTCAAAATGCCCTGGTCACCCGTTCTCTATCCCACACACAGTTTCATTTCCTCAGAACACTTATTATTATTTGAAATAAACTGTTTACATGTTTATTATTTATCTCCCTACACTCAAGCACAAGCTCCATAAAAACAGGAACTTTGCTGCCTTGTTCCCCCAGTACCTAGAACAGTATCGAGCACATAGTAGAAAATAAGTATTTGCTAAATTAACAAATTAGTGAATAAATTCATAAACGGCCTCTACAGATGATTAAAATGCTAGGTCAAATAATTATTTTCTGCTTTTGAATAATCTTCCAGATGACCAAAATTTCCCACTTCATTTCTCTGGTTTTGCTCAAGATGAGGAAAGAAGCCTCTTGCTGGGCTGGGTGAGAGGAGTCTTAAAGACGCAGAGAGAAAACACAGCAAATGGCCTTGAAAGGACTTGTTCTTGGCAGGGCACTTAAGAGAAAAACATGCTCAACTTTTAGCATGAACTAGCCTCAGGCAGTTAAAGAACTCAAAACAGAAGTTCTAAGGCCACTTTTTGAACATCTCTACTGTGAACACTGCACCTGCGCAAAGCCAGCTGAGCATCTTACATGATCACTATTTACAGGATATCATCACAGCAGCATTCGCCAAACATTCTGAAACAAGTTAGCACTGATCAAAAGGAAAATGTAGGATTTGAGATATGGAGCCTCAACTTCTACAGANAAATATTCTGAAACAGGTTAACACTGATCAAAAGGAAAATGTAGGATTTTAGATCTGGAGCCTCAACGTGTACAGATAACCTTCATCCCCAACCCCCAAATGCCAAATAACTGAAGATGCAAAAAATAACAGGAGGAAAACAGATGTGAGGACAGGAGACAGGAAGCAGCCGTGAACATGGCGTACGCGAAGGCTGCCAAAGATCACCCAATGAATGCAGCAGGGAAAGCTGTAAGCTAGGCTCCAAACCAGACCCCTGCTACTAAAGGGAAAAGCCCCGATCTACAGTAACCCTCTCAGCTAAAAGACCAACAATACCCCCACCCTACAAGGTTCTATTTGGTTTCAGAAACCCAGGCACCAATTCCTCAGAAAGAACATTTCATTTGCCCTTAAAATCTATCTGGTACTCGCTTTGAAGAGGACCCCAGGCTGGTTGGAATGAGATGTTCCATCTCAGGGCATGCACGCTAGAAGTTTCCAGATGAGCTCATCTTCCATAATGCAATCTGACAACACTGAACTCCAACCTGCCTTCCCTGACAATAAGCAATTCAATTATGCAGGTAACAGAAAAAGGAAAATGTCACTCTTAGCTTATATGTTAATTCTAGCTTTGAAACAAGTCCACATTGTATTTCCATGCACCTGAAGATATTTCACATAAACTCCAGCTCAAATGAGGATGTGTCCATTAAATGCAAAAGAGAATATATTTGACAACATTCACACGATTTCAAAATACTTCAAAGACTTACTCTGTGCCGTCCACATTAAAGCTGTGAACTGCCTACTCAGGACTCCGTACATCATGTAAGTGGAACATAATCTTAAATGAAAAAACAGTTTGCAAAGCNGGAACAGGAATCATGTGGTTGGTTAGGCATAAACCATAAAATGACTGCTCATATCAGAACGGCCAGTAACAGAATTCTTGTTAGACAGCCTGTACCATATTCTCAATTTTTATTTTTATTTTTGCATCAGTGGACACCATTTCTTCTAAAACAATTCTAGCCAAATACTGATCAAGGAAGCATCAAAGCTGGCAGGGCAGAATGTGGAACGAGAGCCGGAAGCACAGGCAGACTTTCTCCCAGCGGCTACGTGGATGGTGCTGCGCATCCTTTCTGCTCAGGATGGACCAGCTCAGCATGCGGCGAGTGAGTCCAAGAATGTCAGCTTGGGAAGGGCCTTCTCTGTGCTAAGCACTTATCAGAATCACGAGGCAGACCTTAATCCTCACAGTAAATGTATAATAAACTACCAACTTAACTCTAGAAATGCCCAATTCAGTTTGTAAAATAAAACATTTTAATGTTATCACCTCTTGGAATACTAACGTTTTAAATTTCAGGCAGAAGGCATACGAAAGAATTCCACTAAGAGAAACAAAAAATCCAATTTATACCCAAATCCAAGGCACTTCCCTGAATGTGTTGGCCTTGGCAGAACAGTGCCATGTTAGTCCATGTACAAGGGCAATGCTGTTACATGAAGCTATTTATGGAGTCAGTCACTCACCCCAAGCAAATTTTACATAAGAGCTACTATACAGCACCAAGCAGTCCTGCACCCTGCTGTCTTATTCCAATTCCAAAATTAGGGTTAGGGAATGTCTCTGGAGGTGTTTAAAAAGTTGCCCACACTNATGTCTCTGGAAGTGTTTAAAAAGTTGCCCACACTGCTCGGAAAGGTGAATTCAAGGTGTTCAGAGAAATCCACACGAGCTAACTTCCTCAACTGCATCATAGAAATAAAAAGTTTTCAGAAGGCCGTTTGTTTTCTAAAGACACCAATAAGTTCATCTCTAAAATTAAAAGCAAACATTCAAATAAAACATGAATAAAAGCATAAAAGACTTCAAATTTATGGTGATTTTTCTCCTACATTTATAGGGGGGGAAACATAAAAAGTATACTCAGATTATTCTACATGTATTTTTTANGTTTATAAGGGGAAAAACATTAAAAGTATAATCAGATTATTCTACATGTATTTTAAAAAGTTTTAAGGAAACACTTTTAACTATAATTCAAATTAAAAAGCCAGAAAAACACCTGACAAAGTTAGTTATACAAAAATAAAAACTTCTACATGACTTAAAATTAAAAAGAAAAACCAACACCAAAAGTAAAGTCAAAAAACAAACTGGAAAAAAAATAACTGTCTTCTCTCAGGNATAAAGTCAAAAAACAAACTGAAAAAAAAATAACTGTCTTCTCTCAGGCAAAGAATCAATCTCTATACTACAGCAAGAGCACCTAGAAACTAAAATTTAAAAAAAAACCACACTAACCACCAATAGAAAAATGAGTCCAGGACATGAACAGGCAGTTTACAGAAAAAGAAATATACGAACGTGAAAATAGGCTCTGCCTCACTCATAACAAGAAATGCAAATTAAACCAACTCTGAGTAATTATGTTTCACCTGCTAGAGTGGCAAAATACAAAGGTTTAACAACATACTCTACATGGAAGGCCAGGGAGAACAGGTACATTCAAACTCTGCTGGGCACATGCAAAATGACACAATCCCCTATGGAGGGCAATTTGGCAATATTAATCAAAATTACAACTGCATTTACTCTTGACCCAGCAATCCCACTTAAGGGAATTTACTCTCCAGATATACCTGCAACAGGTGTAGAATTACGCACGGACAAGGCTATTGACTGCAGCATTCTGGGTAACAGCAAAAGACTGGAAATAATCCAGTTGCCATCTACTGGGGACTGGCTAAATAAGGTGTAGTAGATCTACACGACAGAATGTGTAAGAGTTGAATAAAGATAAGAACATACATTGTATTTGCTTGTATCTATATATTAAGAAAAACACTGGAAGGAATCACAAGAAACTTAAAAATTGATTACCTAACAGGGTGGGAGTAGATAGATGGAAAGACAGGTGAGGAAAAAACTTCTCAGTGTATATTTTTTATTTTCAATGTATATCATTTTCATTTTTGAACCACACAAATATATTAGTTCTTCAAAAATGATTAAGTAAAACTACTATGGCATGAAATGGCCTCATTCTGTGTATAAAAATAATACTCCTATTAGGAACATTACAGTTAATGTCAGGAAAACTCGTGACCACTGGACATCAGAGAAGAACTAGCTGTCTGTGTGCTCCCATTTCCCACTGGCTTTCCCTCCCTCACCTGCTACAAGAAAGCCAGGCCTATCTATCCACTGAGCATCACTGAGCCTTTCCAGTGTGACCTGATGGTGAGCGGGGCAAGTGACCAGTGGATTGATTACTCAGTGCCCCCACTGCCATATGAACAGAGGTGCCACCAGGACAAAATGGGGGGAAATGCCAACAAGTCAGCTACTTTACTTCTTAACCTGTGCTGAAACTAGAGACTTGGTACCAGTGATCTTGGTCAAGACCAATATCCTGAGACTTAATTTGGCATCAGAATCTATGGAAGTGAATGTCTATCCCCAGTCCCAGCGAGACAAGTGAGTCAATGATCAGCCTACTACTGTGGTCACAACTATGCCTACTGAGGAGACAGGTGCCTTCCTTTCCACAAACTGGACATATTTTGTCACAATAGAAAATAAAACTTGCCTCATAAAACCATTCTGTATAAGTTCTCTCTGAAGTTTCTGATCTTGAGCAGCGTATTCAGAAAGTTCAGATTCCACCGCCGGAGGGAGAATGTTTGGAATAAATTTAGAAAATAGAGTTGGAGCCATCTGAACCCACTCTGTGAGGGAAGGAAAAGATTCTTTAAGAAAATCATATAGACAAGTTAAATTAAATATATATTAAACCAAACTTTAGTGCAATTCTGCTCTGATAAAGAACATACAAGAGGTTAAATTTCCTTTCTAAAAAGAATTTACAGTGTAAAGCAAGCAGGTGTTTTTACATTTTACCGATATAACAAAAGTTAATGAAAATCTCTAGAGATTTTTAAATGGGCCTTATCAAAAATTCTAAATATGAGGGAAACCATGAATGAGATAACTGAAGAATCCTGAGTGGGAGGCAACTTGGACGGAAGAAGCTTGGGGGAAATACTAGCCCTATAAAGCACTAGTTAAAACGATACACTGGGCCAAAAACTGAATTGTACGGGTAGTAACAAGTAGACGTATAAAAACAGTACCACAAAAATGGAGGGGAAATTAAACATTTAACAAGTAGGCTGGAGATAACTAGTAAGTACTTTTGAATAAAACCCTATTTTGACCCACGCTAAATGACAGCAAATTAAATATATATAGCCATAAAAGAAAAAAATTAAATGGTTATTTTAAAAAGATAAATGGTCAAGGGAATAATCTGAAGAAAAACATTCAGAAGTAAAATAAATAGGCAAAGAGAAGTCTAAGGAAATATTTGCATCAAAGGTGAATTAGTATCTTTATTATAAAGCATTTTTACAAATCACTAAGACCAAATAAATGAAAGATAATAGAATAAAAGCCTTGTTAATATTTATGCAAACTCAAGCTAAAATAAACACAATCTCCTCCCCCTGCTCACTGAACTCTAACTGTAACTAATGCCCACCTGTAGCAGGGGTGTGAGGAAACCAGCATCCGCCTTCCTTGCTGGTGGCCCTACCTGTGAGCACTGCTACCCCCTTTTGGAGTCTATTAATCTGGCCCTTTCAAATTTTCACTCTTTGAAAACATCTTAGCTGTGTATATCAAAAACCATAAAATGTCAATGCTCTATTTATTCCAGTAAGCTCAATTTAAAAATTGTAATCTTAAGTAAATATAATTATAAATTTGAAAAAGTTTACACTAATGCTGTGCAATGCTGGGTCATTGGTAAGTTAAAAAAAAAAAAAAAAAAAAAATCAACAGGAGAACAGCCAAGTTAGAAATGGCAAAAAAAATAAGGACTGAAAATGACACAAGGGCCAACTCACTCAGCCCTGAACAAACTCATGGCAAAATGCCCTCAATCGCATCCCTCCACCTCGCTCAGCTCAAACAGGGTGTAGAAAGAGTCTCGAAACAGTGCTCCGGGAACCATAACCAATCAGTGTGAGCCGCCAAACAGACCTGCCATTTTATGGAACTCCAAGCAGTGATTAAAATAAAGAAACAAAAACAAGTGTATTAAATGAAGGGCAACTATTTTTAAGCTGAGTTTCTAAACACCAAATGAAAACACACTTAAAATGATAAGTCATCAGGATCTCCAAGGATTAGGGCCCAGGAATCTAGAGTTTAGAAAACCTTCTTAGCTGATTCAGATGCATTCACTATACAAAGATCAGCACGTGAGATCCACTGCAATAAAAGAAACTTTTACATTTAAAATTCAAGTTTTAANAGCTGATTCAAATGCATTCACTATACAAAGATCAGCACGTGAGATCCACTGCAATAAAAGAAACTTTTACATTTAAAATTCAAGTTTTAAAATATTTTAACCTTAATCTTTCAGGTGAATAAAACTGCTTTAATAAACCAGGAACACAATGGGTGAAACGTGTAAATGTCAAAATAGGTTTAATAGTATCTCAGAAAATGCCAATGGTTACAAAAGGTTTGCCTTTGCAAAAGGACAATTCGCAAATACAGACTCTTCACAAATAGCACGAATCCTACATAAGAACTCAACCTTAGAACAACAGCATTTAGATGAACACGTATCTCTGAGTGTTTCTCCCCTGATTACTTTTAGTCTGCAATTCGTTACTTATGATAAAAGGCAGAGCTTTTATGATAAAGCTGCCTACTTGGGAGGCAGAATTTAGAAATTTGTCAAACTACACTTGGATGCCTTCCAAAATAAAATAAATCATTCATAACCTAGCACTAAAAGAAAAATCCATGAGCCATTTCATCACATTTAGTAAAATGAAATTCAAAATTCTGAGAAACTACAAAAAGAAAAACATCAGCTTATTGGAAACATGAAATAAAATGTTTTGCTACTTTATATAAANCTGGACACATGAAATAAAATGTTTTGCTACTTTATATAAATAATTACTTTATACAGATAATTTGTTTAAAATTTATGAAGAATAGAGCGAGACCGGACCAAATTTAAGTAACACTAAATCTGAATACTGAAGCCACTGTTTGAAGTAGCCTGAGAAAGAAGCATTTACATCACACTCTACTCCTAGTACAGTTTTCACCAAATTTCCATTTTTAGCAAGCTAAATTCTGACGGATCTTTTAAATTTAGCAAACAATCAAGCCACCAATTAAAATAAAATAACCACTGGACCCAAGTGTACAGTAATACCTTAATGTTAGTAAGCTTATTATATTATCAGGTATTGTGTTAAGCAATTTAGATCAGGTTTTATTTCACTCCATCTTCAAGTGACAAAAGAATTTCACAAAAATATAATTAAAGTAGTCCCCCTTTCCCGAGGGGGATACGTTCTAAGACCCCCAACGGACTGCTAGCAAGTTACTTAACAAGCCTAAGAAGATGGCATCGTGAATGCGTCATGAATGTGTGCGCCTGTGCACAGCACCCTCAGTGTGGGGCAGAAGTAAAGGAGACTCCGTAACAAAAAAAGACAAAGATTAATGCCAGACACGGGAGTCAATTTTATCAGAACTGTCTCCTACAAACTCTTTTTTGTCTTTCCTAAACAAGTTGGTTTGCACTAGAATAGAGAGAATTCCACCTGAGTACTGAGCTTACATTTCACAATGAGTATCTACTCAGTTTTTTTTGCCATAACAAACCCAAATACCATTAGGGCTCAGAAAACACACAGAGAAACACTGTTTCTTGGGTAGGGCTGGAGCCACCACAAACAAGTCCAACCCCAAAGAAATGATGTAAAATTTACCTGGTCTGAGAGTATACAGGCCTTTCACGATATTTGCCATAGTTGAAGGTGTGACCTGAAATGGTGTTGACTGGGCTTCTAAAAGTAAAGCTGAAAAAAAGAAGAAAAAAATGGGACATAAAAATGATGCAACATTTACTGTCAAGGTTTTTCTTTCTATCACTATTTCTCCCAAAGATAGAAGGGTAAACAAGTGCAAGAAAAAAAGCATCCCAAGAGGACAAACTAAGAATTGATTCACTGAAGACTGCCTTTAAATCCAGTGCAACAGAAGTTCAATCCAGCAAGTAAATACGTACAGGCTTCGGACATACTAATGGAAACTACTCAGTTCACGGCGGCTCTGAAAACAAGGAAAGCTTTCTAAAAGCAATGGTATTCATGGTACTTAGTAAGCCAAAAGTGCTTCCCATTATGCTCATGATTCAAAAGATTTACGTCTGGGGGGTAAAATGTTCTCTAATTCTCTCAACCATTTCTCTCTCCCCCAAATCACTATATTTGAGGCACTTGGGATTTCTCTGAAAGACATGTTATTGGTAATTTCAGTAGCTGCAATCAGAGTCAGGCTGACTTTCTGAGTCAATGTGACTTTCCCAAATGCTACAGCTGTATGTGTTTTTTCTCTTACTCAAGATAACAGCAGGGAGACCATGCACGCTCACCCTTCTCACTCCCATGACTCTGGTAACTGCAGGACCCTGACTGAACCTGACAACAGAGCCAGCTTTCTTTTAGGTTATCTACTGCTGAACAAAAACTTTATTAGAACATTTTTAAATGGGTAGAAATAATTTCTCTAGATAACATCATTAACAAATACAAATAAATTCCATTATTTAGTGGGTACAACAGATACTACTGACTCAAAACAGTTATTTTTTTTTTCTTTCTTTTTAAACATATCTTTATTGATTTCAGAGAGAGGAAAGGACGAGGAGAGAGAGAGGGAGAGAAACATCAATGATGAGAGAGTCATTGACTGGCTGCCTAGCCCGCAACCCGGGCATGTGCCCTGACTGGGAATCGAACCCCGATCTCCTGGATCCTAGGTCGAAGCTCAACCGCTGAGCCACGCCTGGCCAGGCAAAACAGCTCATTTTTAATTTCTCTCTCAAAGACCTGCAATTTACTAACCAAAATACTCCATAAAATTTGGCATAATTTTACTGTATGCTAGGCTTGTCAAATTGGACAGGCTGTTTTCTTCTGTCGGTGTCTTTTTAAAAATGGAAATGCCATCTCACTTGGCCAACAATGACTTTACAGTTTCAAACATACACTGTGAGTTACACTTGAATTTATATGAAAGCTAAAAGTGGATTGTTCAAGTTTATCCTTTGGATTTTATCATCAGTAGATAGTTACAATTTTAAGTAGCATAGAGAAATTTTAAGGAGACAAATGCTAATTTGAGCACTCCAGAAAATACTTTAAAAATATAATGTTTAAAACTGAAATTCTAAATTTTAGGTTCTAAGAGAGTCTCTTCCAACTCAAGGTTCTCTCTAATATCAACGAGTACTCGAAACCCATGCTCTATTAATCCCTCTCCCTACTTTTGACCAATAGTCTTGACCTCCAATAAGTCCAACTGAAGGTTGCCAGATGGGAGGGTAGCTGGGGGAGACTGGGTGAAAAGGGGGAAGAGACTATGAAGTACAAACTGGCAGTTACAAAATAGTCACAGTGCCTGGTAAGTGCTTAACAAATATCTCGTAAGTTCAGTTTTATCCAGCTTACAAAAGCTTAAGGGCCTTTTCAGTTTACTTGAAAAAGAAAAGATATATCCACCTTTAAGTGTAATGTTTATTAAAAATCTGATTCTATAATAAACAAAAGGAAGAAGTAATCCGTTTATGTTTCCTCTCACTAAATCTGGACTACCACATTCTCTCTGAATATTTTCTTTGCATACGCCCAATAAAATTGATTTCCAAATTACTGACAAATATAAAAACATTTTTACATAGTAAATATGCTTTTCTACCAAATGACAGCACTGGTCTAAAGAATTTTAACAGGAAAAACTCCAAAATGCTGTATTTTCTTTTACAATGAAAACAAAGACAATGTCGACATCAGAGATAATACTTAAGTGGTTATAATTAATAGTTGGGATACCTCACAAGATCATGTTTAAAGACATCTGTAAGCATANAGTTATAATTAATAGTTGGGATATCTCACAAGATCATGTTTAAAGACATCTGTAAGCATATGGAAAGCCTTTTTTTAAAAAGGCCATACTCCCAAGATTCTAGATCTCCAGTATGATTCTGGAATCTCGAGGACATAATGAAATATATTATCTTCATCTACAGTATTACCTGAAAACCCTGCCTTTCTAAAATAAACTGGCCCAATGTTTAATATTCCTTCCCTTTATTTACACTCAAAAATGAAAGAGTTTGTGGTCAAGCTTACAACAATTCTTTTGTAAATTCCAGTAAAAGTTCATTGTGGTAGAAACTATGACTATTAGAAAAGCAAAAATTACTGCAAATCCAAAACGTGCCAAATTCTAAAACATGACTTGATGATTTACTGCATAAAATATGAGCTTTTAAAGACTGCTGACACATTAGGTTGTAGGGGACTCCTAAATTTCACTTGGAGAGGTATATTCTTTTAGGAAAGGTATAAGATGCCGCCTACTGTAAGGGGGCAGGGGCCTGGGAATGCGGGGAAAGGAAAAACTGAATTTGGCACTATGCTCTGCTTACTTACTAATCTACATAATAACCACGTTAAACATTTTACAAATCCCAATTCACAGAAGAGAAAACACAGGATGAGAGGGTAAGAAACTGCCCTAAGATACAGTTAATAAATGCCAGAGCCAGAGGAGAAGTGTTTTTGCATTAGAGAGTAAAAATCACAGAGGATTCTGTGCTACTACTTCAAAGATATCACACTGGGCTCCTCCTAGAGTTACCAGTAACAAAGTTAGGGGCAAACCCCTTATTTACTATTTCTCCCATTGTCAGAAGGAGGGGAAAGGCAGCAAGTATCACGCACTGTCCAGTAACGTAGCTAAGCAGCTCCCAGCTCACTAGGTGACCTCCAAGTCACACTTTCAATTCCTCATGCCCCCCTCTATAGATCTGGGCTTCAATACTTTCTGCTGTCTGATTCAGAAGATGTCAACATCGGGGTTTATGTGCCAGTGCTCGCTGATCAAAAAATATGCATATCACTGCTAGTGTTATCTCACCCCAGTAAGGTGAATTACTCACGCATTAGGCTGTAAATGTGCTTTTCTGCAACATGTTCCGTAAACAGCTTTATAAGGTCATCTTTTAAGTCTCTGTTAAGCTTCGTTTCGATGTAAAACTTATTCTGAAAAGGAAAATAAATTATTCTTCAGTGAATCAATTAGAGGAAATGATTAGTCTAAAACTGAAACACTAAAAATAAATTATTTTAGGAAACAATTCATAAAAGCATCAATCAAAACATAAAAACCCAACACCAAGCAACAAAAGAAAGCCCTATCCTATTTACATGTCTTTCTGGCATGAGGTTAAAAGTACATAAAGATAAAATGCTATGAACCATACACCTCCAAAAGAACAAGAGGGAGATACCTGGCATGACCTACAGAGGGATGATGGACAGACACACAGAACCCACTGTGTGAGGCACTTAATATGCCCTTTAAAAATACCAGATCATCTAAAGGCAACACCGGGTATCACTAACAAAAGTTCCCATTTATCCATGATCTAGGCTGAAAGCAGGTAGCGAACGTGCACTGGTTGGGCCCCAACATACACTCCACTCCAATGCTTAGTGTAAGTCATTCAGCTTATGGTATTCCCTAAGAGACAGTCTGGTTCAAAGGGAGACGCGTTACCCAAGGTAGCCCAATGAGACTGAGAGAAAGCTAGGCTTGAATGAAAAGTATCTTACAGTCATCTCACCATTGTGAGGAGAACAGATGAAACAGATGTTGTACACAGCAGAGACAAAAAAAAAACCTGAGTCCTTAGCAACACTGTTAAACCACAGATTCAGCCAAACTGGAGAATGCCTTATATCTGGATTTTATTATAAGAGCTAATGCTTTCCCTTATTTACTTAAATCACTTTGAATCTAGTCTTCTGTTTCTAGCAGCCAGAAGCATCCTGATTAGAATTACTGATAAGTCAAAACAATTGAATTTGTTCATATTTAAATGTTAACTCAATGTACAGGAATGGAAAACGCAAAGAGGAATGTTAACAAGTTGCTGATTCTCTTAATTCTTAACACAACTTTTTTTTTCTCTTTAAAAAATTATAAAAATAACATGTACATGGTTAAAAATTAAAACCATGCAAAAGGTTATACAATAAAAAGAACTGTCCCACGGCAGACCCTCTGTCCCATTCCAAAAGGTCCCACCCTACACTGGGAAAACTTCTGCATATTCTTCCTAAAAGGTTGCCTGCATATATGTGGATATGCTTTTTTCCCTAATAAAGAAGAAAACACTTGCTAATGGAGAAATATTATACCCTGCTCTGCATCTTACTTTTCCACCTAATGTCTCTTGGGAACGATTTTTCTCTAAAATAACATAACACGTCATTATTTTTAACTGCGTATTTTTCAACTGTAAGTATCTTCCATAAATTACTTAAATAATGGCCCCTGGTGATAATGGAAATTTCTCCCAGTGTTCCGTTTTGTATGGCTTTTTCCTAGTTGTTTTGGTGTTTTTTTTCAGTAAAGTATATCTTATGGAGCATAAATAAATAATTTTGAAGGGTATAAGACATACAGCAATCTCTACGCTATAGAATATAGGATCAACCTATACACCCCATTCCCTAATAATAAACAAAGAGGAAATGGGATAATAACTTCACTCCATTGCGATAATGAGCCCCTCCATTTGACAGGAACACTAACATTAAGATTCTGCAACTTGATATATTTAAAGGGAAGAGGGACTAATCAACAAAGTCAACAGACCACAAATTATACTCAAGGCATAATTCTCCAAGTGGAAGAAATCATCAGAACGCAAGTAAATTTTATTGTTCCATTTTTTTATGAAATGACTTACTTGGCATTTATCATACTTCACATTTTTAGATACACATCTTAATTCTCTTTTTTCTGAGGACAAGAAATCTTTCTTATACATCTTTATTTTCCAAGCACAATATCTTCCATATGGCAGAAATAAAATAAATGCTCAATGGATGACTGCTGATATTCATGCCTAATTGTGTATATAGCAATATTATTTATGGAATTTTAAAACAGAAAAAGGGTAAATAATTCTTCTATGGCAACACTTTCAAACATTCCTAAAATCGATTAATTTCCATTTCCACCATAACATATAGCAAAAGAAAAACAGAACATGCTTCGCTCTTGATGCTTAGACCAGTAAACCAAGCTCTAACTTACCATATAAATGAAAAGAGGCACAATGCTCTGCAATGCTCCCATATACTGTCCAAGAGCTATATTAAATCTTTCAATATAGAGATCTGGAGGGCTGGCCTGTGAGAAAGAACATAAATGTGGTAATTCCGGGAAACCAGGCTTACAGACCTTCTGTCAGTCTAAAATGCAAATGGCTCTTAGAATATGTGTAGGGAACTCTCCTTACTTCTAATTGGGCCTCCACATGCAGTACTTACCCGTTCGGGATACACTAGTGTTTTTTATTTTTCTTAGTCCCCCTAAATGCCTGCAAATTGAATGTTATCTCCACTTTTACCTATGAAGCAACTGGGGCTCAAAATATTTAGTCACTTGACTANCGGCCTCCACATGGAGTACTTACCCGTTTGGGATACACTAGTGTTTTTTAAGTTATTTTTCTTAGTCCCCCTAAATGCCTGCAAATTGAATGTTATCTCCACTTTTACCTATGAAGCAACTGGGGCTCAAAATATTTAGTCACTTGACTACAGTCCCACAGCTAATAAGCAGAAGAGCTAAGTCTCAAACTCTGNTAGCTAATAAGCAAAGGAGCTAAGTCTCAAACTCTGGTCAATCTGAGTCGTTCCGCCTGCTTACATTCCTCTTTCAGCACCTTGAAACCTTTAGAACAAAGTTCAAATTTCCAAATGAGGGCACACTGTTTACCTCTGTGTTCATACCCGCTCCTCACGCACAGCCCAGCACAACATGTGGAACTGGCAGCAGTTACCCAAGTATGATGTGCTTTCAGGCCTCCCTGACCGTATCTTCTACCTGAAGTCTTTAACGCCCCCCAACCAGCTTCACCTGGCTAACTTCTGTTTGTCCTTCAAGATTCGTCACTTCCTCATAAATATCTGGGATATATGGCCTCTCAACTGGGCACTATGACACTATTCACTTCTCCCACTGGGTGGTCTCTGTCCCTAAACTTCAGGTCCCTGCAGGGCAAGATCTACATCTTGTCTTTGCAGCTTCAGTGCTGACCACAGAGCCTGGAACATAGTAGGTATATATAAAGGCATGTCTTGCAAGACAGAGTCTTGCTTAAATCTAAACTTGTTGAAATCTAACCCTAACCTAGCCTTGTTTAGATCTAAATTATTTTGCTATTGAACAAGGCTATATGGCATTATGCAATTCATTTAGTCCTCTAAATTTCAATTTCCACACAAAAAAATAGGAAAAATGCTAATTGTGCTATTTCTGAGATGAGTTTAGATTCAAAGAAAATAATGTGTAAGGGCTTTGAAAATTGTCAAATATTATATACGTATATGTAACTAGTAAGTAAACTTTCTGAATTAACTACCCATTTGTCTAATACTTTATAAAAACCCATTAATGTTATTAAAAGCATTCCTTATTAACTAGAAAAATTGAGGGAAATGGTCCCACATTAAGGAAAAACTTTTAACTATAACTAATGGACAGAAACACATGTATTATCTTTCTCTAAAGTGCTTCAAAGAACTCTGGAAATGGTATTTCAGTATTCAAAGAAATAAATTTTAGAAGTATTATATGAAAAAAAATCTTAAGAGTTTTTGCATTAAAATAATTTTCCCTTTTCATGAAACAACACTTTATCCATCTCAAAGTTAAAAGTGCGAACACTGATCAAAAGGCATACTTAACAGCAGACAGAATAAATAAAACTGAATTCCTTAGCTATTCTTTTCAAGAATTCCCAGAGCCTCAAAGGTTATGAGTAATAAAAAGCACTTTTTCTACTGAATCAAATGTCAGAGCATTTACTGAGCTTTTTACTTCCACATTTCATGCAGCACTTATTCAAAACCTTTTAAATGACAGGACTCTAAATTGTAACAATCTTCTAAAATAAATCCAATCTCCGTACTAGGAACCTAGAAAAAAACTATTTTTAAAAACTAATCAAACTGTTCATGCTTAAAACTTAAATTCAGTATACTCTGGGCCCCACTGGGAAAATTGCTGCCTATGTGATCTGCACTATTTCAACATGAGTGTTTGGCTTGGACTCTGAATGAAATTTTCACCCCTGAAACAAGCCAGCTTCATTTTCTCCTCACACAAGAAAGAGCAAGCCGTCAGAAAGTAACTGTTACTCCAAACCTGCTCCCACTTTTTATAACAGACCTAAACTCCCTGAAATTTATAATACAACTGGAAGGAAGGATGTTTTCATTTCTTTTTTTTTAGTGAGTAATGTATTCATCTGGTTGAAAATTCAGATGAGCCCTGGGCAGTGTGGCTCTGTGGTCAGAGCTTTGGCCTGCGGACTGAAGGTCCCCGGTCAGGTTCCGGTCAAGGGCACGTGCCTCAGATGCCTCAGATGCAGGCTCGATCCCCAGCCCCGACTGGGGGTGGGGTGGAGGGGGGAGCTAGAGGGAACCAATCGATGTCTCTCTCTCACACCGATGTCTCTCCCCCCCTTTCCACTCTCTCTAAAAATCAATGGAAAAAATACCCTCAGGTGAGGATTAACAAAAATAAAACCTGTCCTGTACATACTGCATAATATTTGCATGTTTAATCAGTACCCACATGGATTACTTGTTCCTAATCTTTTGCTACCACAAATAATGTTGCAATCAATAACTTCATACAGATGTTATTTTGTTGACAGTTTTAAAGAAAAATTTTAAAGTTAAAATGGTAGAACTAGATGATAACCTTATGTTTCATTAGATAAAAACGAAATAATTTTGGCACCTAGTTTTGAAGACCAATCTGCTAAACACCCCTTAGTGCTGCCAGACAAGGAAGGGAGGGTCAGATGTGATACACACATCAAATCTTCACGGGAGGAGAGAGAACAAAGCTTCTTATCCTTAACTTTGAAAACTAGATAAGGAAGTTTGGTCAATCACTCTAATTAAATGTATATTAATTTCAGAACAGCATGATTTGTTTAAATAATGTTACTACCCAAAAGACAAACCTACTATGATCTAGGCCAGTTCTGCCCAACGGGATCTTCTGTGATGAGGGAAATGTCCAATATGGTAGACACTAGCTACATATGGCTACTGAGCACTTGAAATGTACTTAATAGAACTAAGAAACTGAATTCTATTTCATTTTCATTTCAATAGTTAAGTACAGCTAGTGGCTGCCAAACTGGACACTGCAGATATAAAACACAAACAAGTTCCACAATTTCATATTTACATCCCTCCTCCGCCTACACTCTCATCTCCATCCCACCAAAATGAAAACATGAAAAATTAAGAATATGTGCTTTTCTGTTCACAAAAACATTGTGTTCTTTTAAATAAAAGAATGACTTTTCCATGTTAAAATGCAATAGGGAAGAAAAAAGGGAGGGAGAGAAGGATCTAGCAAACACTACAAGAGCATTAACATCTATTTTTACAGAAGTAATACATGTTCACTAAATTTTTAAAAATTAAAAATGCAATTATAGAAAAATAACCACTACCAACATTGGTAAATAACTATTATTAACATTTTCTTCTGTTTTTATGTCTGTGTATGTAACAAATACAGAATTCCATTATTTTGTAATCTGCTTTTATCACTCAACTACAATCATCAACATCTCCCAGGTCAAATATATTTCTACAGCATAATTTTAATAACTGTCTGGACACACCACTGTCTATTGCATTAGTCCCTCGTCATTAGATACTTAAACTGTGTTCTGCTGTTTATATTCCCCAGGTTTACCTGGATATTTCTAATCCAGATTAGCACTTCAGTGGTGCAAACGTGCTCAGTGGCTTCAGCAACAACACAATCTTAAATTTAAAATAAGATAACACCACTCCTTGCTTGAGAGAGACCAGCTCCGGGATTCACAGCCCAGTCAATCTCAAAGAATGCAGCTCTCAGCTTTGCAAATCACCTTAAGAACTTGTAAATGATACAGACTCCTTTGCCACACTGCAAAGTCCTGACTCAGAAACTTTCCAGAAGGGTATATTTTTAATGAGAACTTCAGGGGATTCTTTAAACAGCTGCCCCGGCAGCTGTTAAGCATTTAGAAATGTCTACCGTAGACCACTTCAAAGGAAAGAGGAGCTCCTGGGAAGGAGTCCACAGAATTCAAGGAAAGGTTGAGCAGTAATTACCATGCAACACAAGGCATTTACTGCATGACAATAGTGACAATTTAGCTGCTAACTACACTAAAATCAGTAAAAGATGATACACTAACATTTTAACAGTGTTAAGACTACAGGTGAATTTTTCTTCTAAATTTAACAATTTCTTACTGTTACCTAATTCAGTGATTCCAGAGTTATTAAAATGGAAGTGAAGTGCCAATCCACTTAGAATGCAGAAACTTACCAGAGTATCAGTCTCACCTGCCCACACACCTCATCTCAACACAGCAAATCTACCACTTAACCCTATTTGCTTATTTTTTAAAGAAAACTTTTTTTCTTATCTTTTCCAACTTAATAACCTAACTGTCTCAAAACAAAGTTTATTTTAAAAAGAGTACAACTCCTAACTGTACCGTGTTCACTGTGACAATAAACAACTGCAAAGAACTGTCCTTTATTTAAGTGACTTCACTCTCCTCTCCTCACGAATTCCCTGCCCGGAGCTCAGGATGCTGGTTCTAGGAGCCTCAGCTGCAACGCTAACACATGTTTTTCATCAAGTAGTAAGGACTTTTCGTAGATCTCTCTGGGACCTGGCATCATGTTAAGCCCTATGAGGAGAAAACACCATCCCCTTCCTCCAAAGGATAGTAAACTTACAGGGTTTCTCACTGACAAATTCTCTGAGGCAAGAACAGCTTTGCTATGACAACTGCTTTAAGTTCTAGCTTGGATTAATAAATACATCTCCAAATAACTTATTCAGAAAAAATTTCAGTAGAATATGCATGGCAAGAGCTGGCAACAATGTTTATTTTGCTTAAAAAAGATTAATAGGCAACTTTCTTACTATCTAAACTCTCCCTCACTCTACCAAGGAGTAAATACCATATTTGGGAGAATGAAAGTTTTGGGTTTTTTAAAATCCTTTATATTCAACAGCTATAGATATTATAGCCTTTAAAAAATATAAAATTTCAAATGACCACATAAGACAAGTTGAGTTATGCTGCCACCCACCGGACAAAACACAAATAGCAAAGCAACCCTTGCTCTAATTTTAAACACCAAGAGAATCTGGCTCAGTTTGTTGGTAATTTGGAGGTGTCTCTCAAGAGTGAATCAGAGTTAAGTAATGTTGACTGATTATGGTTTATTTTCTATTAATTTCCATAATAATAATAAATAATAAACTGGTTTGAGTCAAATTATATTTAATTCAATCAAGATGGGTTTAGCTTAAAGACATCAAAAATACTCTAATTTTATTTAAATGAAAGGTTTAAATGTAATTAACTTCTTTTTAATTAAAATAGTTGACAAATGCCCATTTAAACTATTGTAAAGTCAGCCCTATTTGAGAATAAAAATTGCACCATTTTCCTTTCCCACCTGTCTTCGTGCTCTTTCCTCCTCAGGACCCTGAGCTCAGGTTAGTATGACTGGTACTATTCCTAACGCTTTAATGTTACTATCCTGGCCTGGGAACCAAATCTCTCTTTGAACACTGTTTATTGGGGGTAATGTACAGTGTTAAGTTCCAAACCACTGACAAAGAAACTGTTGCTAGTGGATTCCTAACTATAAAGCTACCAGAGCAAAACATCAGAATATTTTTATTGGGTAAAAGTAAAAATATACTCTCAATTCAATAAAATTCATTAACATATACAATAAATTTATCAACATTACATGGGGAGAAAATGTCTCACAACTGCTCTAGTAAATTCCAAATTCAGATGTACACAAAAATAATCAAAATGTGGACATGTCATTTAAGATAGTTTTAAGAGTAAAGAATTTTATTTATATTCATCAAAGTCAATAATCCAAATGGTAGTGGGGTAAAACAAGATATTTTAAATATTGTCAATTCAAATACTTACGGTGTCAGTCAAAAAACCACCCCCAAAATCTTAGTGACTTAAAATAACAAACCTTGGATAAACAATATATGGTATAACTATACAATGGAATGTCATTGAGCCATAAAAAGGAATGAAGTATTAATCATGCCATAAACATGAAAGAACCCTGAAAACATTTATGTTAAGTTAATTAAGCAGACACAAAATGCCACATATTATCTAATTCCTTTCCTACGAAATGTCCAGAATAGGCAAATCCAGAGATAGAAAGTAGATCAGTGGTTGCCAGCAGCTGGGAGGAGGAAAGACTAGGGAGTAACTGCCAATGAGCACCGGGTGTTATTCTGGGGTGACTGAAATTAGTGGTGATAGTTGCACAACTTTGTGGCTATATTAAAAAACCACTAAGTTTAACCACTTTAAAAAGGTGAATGTTCCCTGGCCTCTGTGGCTTAGTTGGTTGAGTTGTCCCATGCACCAAGACATCAACGGGAAGTCAGGGCATAGGACCAGGTTGCAGACTTGATCCCTGGTAGGGGATGTGCATGAGGCAGGTGACTGATGTTTCTCTCTCTCCCCCTCCCTTCCTCTCTGTCTAAAATCAATAAAAACAATAAAAGAGCAAGGAATTGAAAATCTATGTGAAAAAGGACAAAAACTCCTTTAACCTGGTCAAAGAAATACACACACAAGTCCAGGAAGCACAGAGAGTCCCAAACAAAATGAACCCAAAGAGGCCCACATCAAGACACATCATAATTAATATCCAAAAGTTAAAGACAAAGAGAATCTTCAAAGCAGCAAGAGAAAAGCAGTTAATTATCTACAAGGGAGTTCCCGTAAGACTGAGATGGGTACTAGATTTATCAAGGTGATCACTTCTTAGGTTATATGATGTTTAATTCCTGGGTTGTATACCTGAAACTAATATAATACTGTATGTCAACTGTAACTGAAAAATATGATTTAAAGCAAAAAAAAAAAAAAAATTAGTTAAATCATTCAAAGCTATAAATGCACAGATCTTGGATTTCATCTGCAATTTATATACACTGCCTAGGCACTAAATATATCTGTTAAATGAATAAAGATCTTGNATCTTGGGTTTCATCTGCAATTTATATACACTGCCTAGGCACTAAATATATCTGTTAAATGAATAAAGATCTTGTTTTTAGTGGCAAAAAGATGAAGAAAACATTTTACACTAACAACAGGAAAAGTATATATTTGACCATGATAAACAATGCTCTGACTGTAATTTAATAAAAATTTTTTAAAAAAGCTATGTAATGCAACAAGAGTTTGGGCTAACAAGACTAAGGCACCTCAGCACACAGGTAAGGAAGGAACACTATACAACCCAAAGCACACCTAGCACCTTCTAGAAACTGTGGGTATTTGAGAACTTCCCTACTGGGTGTGGACCCTGGTAATTTACTGCTGAGTGACTTCCTATACATCATGTTACTTCTAACCAGAACTAAAATGTGATCTGGCCCTGGCATAAAAATAGTACTTGACCTTCAAGCACTGGAAACTTGACTGAGGCAGAGAGGAGTGGGGTGGGGATCAGAGGCCAAGTGTTTCCTTAAACAGAATATTTTCTGCAACCTGACCCAGATTTTACAGCTGGGATAATGTTCGTCTATAGAGAGTTTATCAACAATGTGCTGATTTCAGTTGTTTATATTAGCAAATTTAAAAAGTGGTAGGCAAACCACTCTTCAAAGGTAATTTTTTTAAAGTTTCAGAAAAAAAAAACCACATATACACATTTATATTATAAATGCCACCAAATACTAAAGTTAACAGAAAAAAAAAGATTTTAAATAAAAGAAACATTCATATGGTAATAAATGCATCAGTTAAAGTATGAAATATATTCAATCTCAAAATTTCCACAATTTATGTCAAAATTTTTAAATAATAATCTATTACAAAGATTAGCTGATTTGGTAAATATCCCTCTAGAAAATATTTAAAAATTTATATCATACTCAAATTAACAAGCCTCCAAAGGTATATTATACAAGCTAATTCCAACCAGTCAGAAAACCCCAAGGAAGCAAAAAGCAAATACAATCAGATCTTTACCTGCAGCTCCTTTGAGACTCTCTCTAAGTGATTAGTTATCTTTTTAATCAGATCACTATACATCTGTTCTGAGTGCTGCTGGCATACACATTTATACACACAACTGTGGAGGGGGAAACACAGAAGAACCAAGTTAATGATGAAGCATGTAATTCAGTCCAAGGTTAAAGCATACTCTGGATATACAACCACTGATCAATCAATCAATCAATCAATTCAGGCCTAAAAACAGTGACCAATCACAACTTTTTAATAAAAATTTACACTGCTGCAATCAGTGTTCAGATGGGAGAGGTATTACCACTAGCAACATATAATCTTTTTGAACACTCTACTGAATATTTTATCAGCACTACATAATCTAATATTTGGTGATAATCTGAGAGTCTGACTATGGTAACTACTTATAAACCAGCTTCTCTCTCATTTTCACAAATGTCAAAATAAGGAAGAGAGAGTGACAATGGGTAGAAAGTTCCTAACTCCCAAAAACATTTGCAATGTAACCTCTTTGTGCTTCACTTGTGTGGAACAACTCAGTTGTCACTTCCTCCTCTTGTGCCTGGGCTGATCTCATACCCCACCCCAGTTCCTCACTAATTTGCTGTTTCCATTTACCAGGAGCTACGAAACAAAATAACCAGAGTGTTAGAAGTGTGTGTCAATAAACATCAACAGATTGAGGTAGGACCTCCCTGTGAGACTAAAAATATGTATTTCTGCCTTCTCTGCTGACCTCCATAGTTTCTGCATTATATACGGCAGGGGTGGCAGGCTGAGGTGGGAGGAAGTCATCAAGTGGGGTTAACTCTATCTTGATTTGAAAACCAATTCTGAAGCAAAAAGTATAAGTCAAACCTCCAATCCACAAGTGTGTAACATATAAATAACTTACAGAGCCTCATTTTATGTATTATAAATTATACGCATACATACTGTCATAATTCAAGTTGCCATGAGCCTCTACACACCCTCTCAAACCCAGGCAAATTAAATCTTGACTTACCTGTATATCTGTTCATAGGATATGGGGATATAGTCACCAGGACTCTGGGTTAAAAGCTGATCTATGGCACCATCCAATTTTGGCCAGTATGTGCTCTTATAATCTTCAATAGTTATAACATTCATTACTAAAAGTAAAAAGTAAAATAAATATTACTGTTGTCACATGTAAACAGAAACTATAGCAATTCTGTACCCCCACTCAAATTCCTTTTAGACTTCACATTGACTATCACCTAAATACAATTCCATTATTATCCCATTTCCAATTTTAAAAAAAAGCAGCCTGATCAGGGATTTTAAGCAGCCATTAATTATGATTTTAAAAGGAATTACTACGCATCTGTCCATCTTTAAAAATAAAAACAAAACAAGCAAAATCACTGATTTCCCTTCCTGGTTTCTGTAAGCTTCTGTTATCAGTGGAGCTTCTCAAACAGGCTCTGACCTACAACTACGCATTGTCAATGATGTAAAAAGATGGCCTATCTGTGAACCACAATAAGGCTCTGGGACACCCCTGGCAAAATCAATCTAAACATGACTATGAAAACTAAAGTCCAAATACTACAGTAACAAAAGAGGTTACTAGAAACCTGCAGAGGTTTACTGCACAAGTATCTCCTAGATATTACTACAGCTCTGACTGAGGCTCGTGCTATCTTACACTTTGGATAAGCCCCACAGAAAAAAACATGGGTGAACGGAAGCCTTACACTGAAGGCTTACCTCATTCCCACTAGCTGGCTTACTCCTTCACTCCAGGTTTAATAAAGCAGTTATTCCAGCTGGTCCTAAAAACTCTGAAATCCAAGGTGACAGCTATTTCACAACAATGAAATGAAGCTAATGTTAAGAACTACCCAAAGCCTCTAAGACACCTCATGTTTTACGAACCTCCACCACCTCAGGAGATAGGAGCTTACCACTACTAGATCCAGTATTGTATTGTTTTTCCAGAAACAGAAGAGAAGGGCTGACTTTTCCAAGAGTTCATGGCTAATTACTGGCAGAGGCACCAGGAAAAACAAAGCCTTTACCTAGTTTCTATCACATTAATGATTTCTAAATCTTACAGTCACTCAGGTTCAAGAAGTTTCTCATCCATTATTGCTCCAACTCCAACTAATACAGAATTTCACAATATTTAAAGAGAAAGCATCTGCTCAACTGAGATTACATATGTATAAACCACACTAACTGCATGCAGGTCTGCCATAGGTTTAAAATTCTGTGATTTACTGCAAGATTTAAAAACAAGCTAATCTTTCCATAGCACTAAAACCAGGAAGTTTAACTTTGAAGTAGCAGCATAAGGCAAGTGTGCTGGGGTGGAAACACCACAATGCACTAATCCGTGCCCTGCAGGCCTCTGAGAAGTTCAGGACTTGAGGACAGGATACAATGAGCATGGATTAGAGGCAGAGAGCTGGTGGGGTGGGAGGTGAAGAATGGCTGGAAGTCTAAAGAGTGAAAAAGAGAAGTGTTATTCTGCACAAAAACTGAAAGATAAAAGCTTTGAACATTAAGACACAGATTCATGGTAGGTGTAGGAGTGTGAGTGTGAGTGTGAGAGTGTGAGAGTGTGTGTGTGTGTGTGTGTGTGTGTGTGTGTGAGAGAGAGAGNTGAGTGCGTGAGTGTGAGAGTGTGAGTGTGTGTGTGTGTGTGTGTGTGTGTGTGTGTGTGTGTGTGTGAGAAGCACAGAGCTGGTGGATTTTAAGTAGTAGTCAACATCAGAAATGCTCCTATACCTAAGCCTGCTCTTCCCATTAATTCTAGAATGCCGTCAGCCAGGGAAGTGTACTTTATTCCCTGCTCCATCGACCCACCCCCATCATCCTCCCCCAAGTGGAAGATCCGTCCCCAGGGAAAGTGAACANTTCCCATTAATTCTAGAATGCCGTCAGCCAGGGAAGTGTACTTTATTCCCTGCTCCATCGACCCACCCCCATCATCCTCCCCCAAGTGGAAGATCCGTCCCCAGGGAAAGTGAACAGTCCCAAAGAAAAGACACTCACATGCTAATATCTGGCACTCCCTCCACAAAATAGAAGCTCTGTGTCCAATTAGCCTGACCAGCAGCCCGCACTTACACTTGGAAAGGCCCCTCCCAAACACAGAACTACCAATTAGCCTTTTCCACTGAACCGAGATTAAGATCACCAAGATTTCTGAAGTCTCAGACTTGAGAGATCAAAACAACAAAAGTTGACAAGATAAAAACAAAGATAATTAAGAAAATAAAAGAAACTTTTTTAAAACCCTGTAATTACTATCCTCAGAGAGGTAAGGTAAAAATGAAAATCAACCCCGTGAAAAAGCATCCAAATGCTCTTAAAATTAAAACCAGCCCCTGTTAAAATCTAACGGAAGAAAGAATGCATCCAGGAACCCTCCCAGAACAGAGCAAACACTAGTTAACAGATTGGAGAATCAAACGGAAATCAACATCTGACTAACAATAATTCCAGAATAAAGGGGAACTAGAGAAAATGTAAAGAGAGAAAAACATTGACAAATATAAGAAATATCCCAGAAACGTTCAAGAAAAAAAGTCACATACAAAAGAACGAAAATTATAACGGCACCTGAATTCCCCATTTGAACACTGCAGCTTACAGCAAATGAGGCAACACTGAGAAGTGCAAGGAAAACTTTTCAGTTAAGAATTCAACACCCAAACTGTCAATCAAGTGTGAAAGCAGCACTTTTATATATACTATTATCTTTTATATAAACTATTATCCACACGCAGTTTCTCAGGAGGCTACTAGACGGTATGTTCTAAATACACCACACACATGTGCAACACACCAATAAAACGGAAGACATCAAGTAACTGCTTGGGAAGTCCCTGAGTGGCAACTGTGCAGAGACCCTAAGGAGTAAATAGGAGCAGGCAGACTAACAGCTTCACAAGCAGACAAAAAGGAAATACTGGCTAACTAAGCATTGTGAAAACACCAGTGGCAGGTATATGAGCAATCCAATAAGGCTGTTGTGAAGTCTGTAAGGTAAGTTTAACAAAAATTATGCAAGTATAAACAAGGCAATTAAAGTTCTTTCTACGTGAAAGAAAATGTAACCTGAGTATATTCCTGGCCCCTGAGTGAATATTTACATAGCCATAATGTAAATATGGTTTACATATTTAATACCAAAAATTGTGGTATTAAGAGAAGTGAAGAGATGAAGTGTGTAGAGATATGAGAACTAAATCTCACCTTAATGGAAAGTCAGTGGGTAATATAAAAGTGATAAATTAAGGAATAACAATATTAACACATTGAAATGTCTGGATAAATATCAAAAGAAACAGCTAAATGCATTAAAAGTGACTGACAGGTCTAGGAATGGGAAGGGGCGGGGGAGGGAGACACTGATTTTCATTATGTATCTTTTCAGTTTGAATTTTCAAATTACAAACTTAAGAGCAAAGTTTTATTTTAAGGCCAAAGAGTTTGCTGAATCTTAAACCCTCAGAAATGGAAAAACAAATCTAGTGAAATTAAATTTGCATCTCAGTATTTCCAATATTCTAAGGCACAGAAATGAGAAAGCTCAGACTGACCAATTGCCTACTAGACCTCTCTACCTGAATGGTCCCTAGACACCTTTAAAAAAGACAGACAGACACACACACACACACACCCCCTACCTACACTCCTCCCACCTTCAGGTCAAAGGCAGTGCCAGCTCCCGTCACTGATCTTGAGTCATCACTGATCTTGAGTCGTTACCCTCCCTCCTTCACCCCCGAATTTTGTAGATGCTAGTCCCCAAATATCTCCAAAATCTGAAACCTCTCTTCCAATGCTGTATTTGTTCAAGCCTTCATCTCTGTCTAGACTGTAATAATACAACCCCTACTAGTCTTTAGGCCTCCATTCTCTCTCCTTTCCGACCTAAACTAACACACTAAGACAAATTTCACAAGTTGACTCCCTTAAGGCCTTCCAGTGGCCCCTACCGGAGAAAGTCACCCCTAACCTGGAATGCATGCCCTTCACTCTAGGCCTCTCAATCTATCCAGGTTTAACTGTTCCACTCCCTATGTGCCTCAAACCCTATGTTCCAACAATAATTTCAACTCTGGGTCTTAAGCACAGCCTGCCCCCTCTGCAAGAATGTCTCAAGTCCTCCTCAATTCTGACAAGCTTCTATTCATTTTTGTAAACATTCTGTTTCCTCTAAGCTGCCATGTGCATACATAGCTTTACCATTTAATCATAATGACCACTAAATGGTATCTTGTTCATCGCCAGAGGCTAAACTATTATCTTGACATACAGATAAGTATTTGTTGAATAAAACGCCATTCAGGTGTCTAGTCAGCACACCTTCAACTACAAATTACAGATCTCTGCAACTCTATCTAGAGGTTAACAGCCAAACATCCGCAAAAATGTAAGAAAAATGATGAATGGCCAGCTTCCCCTGCCAAGACATATTACAGAAGGATAGCAACAATATTTTTTATATAACACTTAACAGATTACAATGTGATTAAAATGGTCTACAACTTACAGTGACAGTTTAAAGAGGAAGTAAACAGCGTTCACTTTCTTTAGGGATTTGGGACTGGACCTTACATAAACATTAAATGCCTTTCTCTTACAGTTTCATCAATGCCACTTTGAATAATATATATCAAAAAATGGCAAGATGAGATTCAGAATTCAGCCAATCCATCAATATCATAGTGATGCTTGCTGCAGCACAATTCCACTAACCTAAATGGCAAAAAGATACCAAATCACCACTACAGGTGCTCCAAACAGTGCATATTTTAAGACCTGAAATACATTAACTGATCCACTTGTAAAACGACCTACCAATCTGAAAACTGACAGACAGGACCTGATCAAGTAAAGGGCAAATTTATTTATGATTTCATAAAAAATCAGTTAATTTCATTCAATTCAAGTCAACTTTTAACACATTTTTGAACCAGAAATTTAAAAAACAATTTCACTGAGTTCAATTTAAAACACTGTGAAGCTTTGTTCATCTGGAGAAGAGAAACTTTTGATGCACTGGGTTAATAATTCTCCTGAGTTCGTGGCACAGTATCATGAAGGCAAGATCCCTTCCTTCCTTCTCACTCCCCCCCAATCCATCTATTCATTGCCTTTTATCCTCATATCCTAGTCCCACCTGCCCCCATCTCCCAACAAACATTCAGAAAGGAAATCATTCTATTCTGTTTAATATATTTGGACTATGAGCAGACATGACATATACTACACCTGAGAAGCTATAAAACACATTGTGTTTCTGTCCACTCTTCTCTTTGCTTCTGCCAAGAAAGACAGGACCCAGAAAAGAGCTTCTCTTCAGAATGACTTGTGAAGAGCCACAGTCAACTGTCAGTCACTAAATTAACATGAGCAAGAAATAAACCTTTGTTGTTCTGTAAGCTCCTGAGATTTGGTGGTGATTATCATAGAAAGCTAATGTAAAATGCAAAGTTAAATGATTACACTTCCCAAATTAGATTCTGCCAATTACATCTGAGTGAGATTTGGAAGGCCAGAGTGAGGCAAAGGATATGCTATTGCTGCTGGTGGTAGTTCTGGCAAGTAAGAGTAGAATTGTGAGGGTTTGTAGCAGCTAAACTCCAAGTTCCAGAGTCTGGTCACCAACTTCAGGTATGAGGGGGGCAGCCGGGATGATGCTGTAAGGGCTGCAGGTGCCTGCCCTCTGGGATGCAGCTTCAGTGGAGCAGCCTCACTGATTTCAACACCTCTAACCTTTCCAACATTTTTTTTTTTTTTTTTAATATATCTTTATTTCAGAGAGAGGAAAGGAGAGGGAGGGAGAGACAGACAGAAACATCAATGATGAGTCATTGGGAACTGAGCCCGCAGCCCGGGCATGTGCTTTGACCAGGAATCGAACCTCGATCTCCTGGATCCTAGGTCAATGCTCAACCGCTGAGCCACGCCCGGCCAGGCCCAACAATTTCTAAAGCACCTGGTTTCCAGTACTAGAACTCTTCTTGCTTTGATATCTAGAGTGGTTTCTTGCACTGAACTGTAATGAAGTATTTGGTACCAGAGCAGTTACAGGACACAGACTCTCAAAAATTAGAAAGCTGGTTGTGGTCTTCCAGTCATACCAGAGTTCAAGGCAATAATGACATTACCACCAACAGACAATTTAATACTAACAGTACATGGCATGTAGCAGCAAAGAGTTATTTAAATTATCACCTGGAGGTACGTGGATCAAGTTTTTCTTGAAGAAAAAAATC